CCTGTGCCTTGCAAATTCCTCTGGAAAGAGTAGTTCATAGGAGAGTTTTCTACGCATTTGATCATTGTAATACAGATAATTCAGCTTATGTTACCTATTTATTTCTCAGAACTCATACTCAGATTAAAAATCTGAGTATTCCTAGTATCCCAAACTTTACTTTTAAAATTGTTCTTTTTCGGCCATCCAATAATGTGGCACTGAGGCTGTTCCACTCTTTCCTTCTTTAGGGGTTCACTTCACAATTGCTTTTCCTGGCTTGTTTCAAATAGTGACACTTTTCTGGGGAACTATTTTGCCTATTTTGCCTTCCTAGTGAGTTCTTCCATTTCCCAGGAAAAATAAAGAGAAAACATGAGATGGCGCTAGCTTTTAATATATTTTGGCTAAGACAAAACGGAATTGGGGCCAGGGAGATGGCTCAGTAGAATAAGCGCTTTCCTGTGAAAGCGCAAGGGCCTGAGTTCAATCCCTGGTTCTGCCCCCCCAAAACAAACAAACAAACAAACAGAAGAAAACAAAACATAGCAAAATGAAGTAGGATCCCCATTGTAACCCCTAGCCTCACAACTCTTAGTTCTATGAAAAATTTACTCAACCCTGGGGATAAAAGGAACCAACAGAAATTGAAACTTGGGGAATAAAGTAGGGATATAAACTCTATGACCGCAACATAGAGTTTTGCTCATGTTCAATGTTGTATTCCCAATCCCAAGAATGGCACTTGATAAATATTTGCTAAAATGAATGAATCAATCAGCGAATGAACGACAGGAAACTGAAACACACAGAGATGAATACAAGAGTCCCAGAAAGTCTCCCACAAAACTGGATCATCATGAAATCAATTTAGTAAATTTGACTAGCAATATCTTTGGAAGGGGAAAAAGTTTTGGGAAACTCTCACCTCCAACACACATCAAGGATTATAATATGAAATACATATTGTTACTCGTTAACAAAGTTGCGTGAAAAATGTATGACCCAGGGTATTAAAACAGGCTCCCAGGCCTCCCAGAGCTGTCAGATGAGAATCTCAGGAATCTTGCACTTTGCACAAGTTCCCTTGGGGATTCTGATAGACTCTGAACTTCAGTCTGCACTCTGAGAACCTTTCCAGGGTCTGGAATTTCAAGCAGTCTAACAGCCATGGAAGAGCTGATCAACACATTAATTCAACCACATTTTCAAGGCCATCACCTGTTTAAAGGGCAGGGAACAGGCATTTAATGACCATAAATAAAATCTGATTGTCTCCTTTGTGCACGTTAGTGGCTTCCAGGCTAGGCTGTGTCTTCCCAAAACCTTCCACTCATTCACCCCAGTGCAAATCAGACCTGTGCAAGTACAGCAGGCCCCAGAGCTCTAATCTTCCAAAATAAACAGATAAAAGATTTTGCTGCCAGATATGAGACTGGGTTGAGGCTTAATGGGAAAGACTGCTTAGCAGACAACTAACAAAAACTCACACCCCAAGCTAGGAATCAGATCTCTATGTGTGCAGGCCTGTCCTGTCCTCCCCTAATCCTGGCAGAGCTATCAGCCACCTGTCCTGACAACTGGAGGCAAAACTTCCTGGAATGAGGATGTAGCTCCATGGAAGGCCTAGGCTTCTGGAAAGCTAGCAGGAATTTTCTACACCAGCTGCCTACCCCCTTGCCTCCATCTACAACAATTAATCAAACTACATGTATGTAAGTTCATGCACATACAAATGTATAATACTATTTTCTGTCTCCTGTTACTTTTCGCTCCTGGACTTCTTTCTTAGCTTAAAAAAATGTTGGAACTTCCATTTTTACTCAGTGTAAGGAAGATGGTCCATTATCTCTCTGAATGGGAACTCAATCACTTCTGTACAAGAGAATCTCTCTCTCTGACCCTGTAGAACAATACCGTCAAACCTCTTAGAGCTTTCAAATACACAAACAGCTTAATGAGGCATGCGGGCTATAGGTTTGCCACCGCTGCCCCACGACACTCACCCCACGACACTCACCGGCTGAGCTACTCCTCTGTTGGTGGTTTTAGTAGCAGTCATGTATTTCCTGGGATGAGCTAGCTGCTCTTACGGTTTTTTTTCTCTCCAACTTGATTTGCAAATTTCTAGGATAAACAAATTCCCTATATTTCCATCTGGTTCCCACACTGCCTTGCTTTAAAGAAAAGCCTTTTTTATTTACATTTGTGTATGTATGAATGTGGAAGGACACACAGGAATTACACTTTATGTCAAAGAACACTGATACAGGACAAGTTAACTGCAATCTGTTCATTTTCACAGAAGTGTCTTTCACCATACCTGCTTTGAAACACCAAATTGTCAGTGCTGTGTTCCAGATATTGAAAATAGTACTGGCATTAAAAATTTTTAAGGGGCTGGGGAGATGGCTCAGTGGAATAAGCGCTTCCCTGGGAAGTGCAAGGGCCTGAGTTCAATCCCCAATTCCACAAAAAAAAAAAAAAAAAAATTTTTTTTAAAGAGGAGCTTATGGGTTTGGCTTAGTTGTTTAAGCGCCTGCTTGGGCAAACCCAGTCAGGCCCAGGGGACCACAGTTGGATCCCCAGCTCCACATGCCTTAGCAGACCTGCCCTCAAGGCAGCCTGAGCCAGCCAAAAAAAAAATCCTTCTCAACTTTAGGGCTGGGGAGAAAGCTCAGCAGCACAAGCACCTGCCTGGCAAACGCAAGGCTGTGAGTTTGCTTTTTATTACCAATAAATAAATAAATAAAGAAAGAAAGAAAAATAAAGAAAAAGAGTTCTAGCCAGGCATACTGGCATATGGCCTCTTGACTAATATTAACTGGGTTTACTTGAGGAGTGTCATGTATCAGCAGCACACTAAGAAGTTTACGTAACCTCACTTCATCTTCATACGTAAAGAAACTATGATGAGGGCGGATGCTCAGAGAACTTTCCGAAGTGGGTAAAGAGGTGGGCACATCAAATTCAGATTTGCCTGACCTCCCAATTCTCTACTGCTTTTCTGATTCGTTCTTCATATAGACTACCCTGGTGCAACTTGACCAGCATCTTTTCTATAGAAAGAGAGCAGAAGTAGCTTTTCTATAGAAAGGGAGAAGGAAGCAATTTTTTTTTAAAAACAACCAACCAACCAACCAACCCATAAACCCTTCCACAGAAGAAGCCAGAGGGGAAAACTTAAGAGATATACTTGTTTACCTTGGATCTAGAAGACTTCATTAAAATTTTTAAAAAAATTTTAATTAATTTATTTATTTCATATAGGGTCTGTCTATGCAGTTTAGACTCACTTATAGTGATCTTCTGGTCTCAACCTCCCCAGCAGGGGAGAGTTTACAACTGTGTGCCACCATGCCTGGCTTTGGGGCCAGCAGGGCATGCGGTATCGTGGATTGAACCCAGGCCCTTGTGCTTGCCAGGCAGGCGCTTAGAATGCTGAGCTATCTTCCCAGTCAAGACTTCATTTTTTAATAATTTGTTTACCATTACCAAATTTCAGCCTCTGATTGTATCTACACACAATTTCAACCACCTCCTAACTGTGTTGTCCTCACATATCTCTTAACAAGCTTCCAAACTTCTTTCCTCTACTCCCTAACGTTTCACATTAGCACAGCAGTGTCCCCTCTTAAAAGGCTCAGTCAGATAATAGCAGAGCTCTGCTTAAGACCACCTCTTGCTGCACTTCCCTCTCCTTCACCTTTCCCATTCCAGTCCTGGCCTGTAGCTCCCCTGGTAAACAGGTCATTCTTTCCCTAAGGCTCTCAGAATAAAGGCTGCTCCTTTTGCTTGGAGCTCGTTTCTCCAAGATAAGAGTATGGCACAACCTCTAGTCTCCTGTTTGCCTTAAAGGCCACTGTCAGGCTTTCTCTCAAAGCTCTGTTTAAATCTTATCTACCCTCTCATCCCAGGACTCCAACTCCCTTCTGAGTTACTTTATTTTTATGTTTAGCCATAGCACTTAGTATTATGTTCTTACATTCGACATAAAACATCCTACTCATTGTGTTGATTGAATTTTCTCTTTAGAATGGAAATTCCATGAAAGTAGAAATGTTTACATTTGGTTCACTGGTGTACCTTCATCACCTAGCACAATGCCTAACAAACAGAATGCACTCAGCAAATATTTGCTGAAATACTTTTTTAAATACTTACTAGCAAGAAAAACTGATCAAGTCAATGCATGTCAAGCCATGCTTGTGGGACCCTAGGACTTTGAGTACTCCGTGGTTCTGATCCATTCAGAAGGTGCTCATTCATCTGCTTAAGAAAGCCAGGGTTTGAGAAGCTATTAGGAAAGATAACATGTGGTGAAGTCTAGCTACATTTTAGACAATTCTAACTGTGGAGGATGATCCTGGGGTAAAGAAGGCTGAAATTATTATGAGTCTATTACAATAGTTTAGGCAAGAGATGAGGGCTTTCAGAAATATTTACTAGATAAGAAGGAAAGATATGCTGACTGATCAGATGTTGCAGAACGATTAGACATTGGGGTCTTCTGACTTACATTTTTGGGTTAGGTGACAGAGCAGATAATGCCCCAGTAAGACAGAACATCCCAAAAGAAGCTCATTTGAGAGTGGGCCTGGCGACTTAGACTAAGATCTGTTTTTGCAGCCCACTGACAGCGTGAGTAGAACAGAAAGCTCACTCAGGGGTTCAAAGCAGCAGAGTATAAACAAAAAGAATCCTTTAAGCAGAGCATTGTTTATGTCCCCATTTATCAGTGGCCCTGAGCTGCACTTTGGGCCGCTAGATTCCCTCCTAAGGAAAAGACACGAATGTTTTCTCACGGGTTAAAAGTTTCAAGTTGACTGCACACCAGAAGGTAAAGACTTACATAACCACGGTGGACTTCAACGATGGCTGGCTCCATTTCATTGGAAAATCACTTTTAAACTGGGCGATTTTAAAAGCAATCCATCCTAAAGATCCTCTAACAAAGGTTTACCAACAAAGTAGTTCGATCCGCCCCTTACAAAACTAACAACTTTATGCTCATACGTTACCTGGAAAGTTCTCTCGATTGAGCCTAGGCCTGCGGATGATCACAAAATCTTTATCATTTCCTTTGCTCTTCAGCCTTTTCCGCGGGGGGCTCTGTGGGAGGCCCAGGTTTGAGAGCAATTCCTCAGGGATGTTCTCACTGTCCACCTCCTCTTTCTCAAGGGCGGAGACCCCCATGCCTGACAACAGTTCAGAGGTCTTGCTGGAGTCCCAGCCCCATGTGAAACTGGTGGTAACGTTGCTATTCTGGTCTGGAATCTCCTGGAGGTGCTTCCTGTGGAAGGGCACAATATCATCCCCTTTCTTTTGAAAAAAAAAAAAACCCTAAATAATTTCAGGGTAGGCATGAAAAAAGCAGCAAGTTATGCTTTGTAGGTAACTTTAACCGCAGCTAACAGAATTATATCTTTACATGCCTACTGCTAATTCCCAAGAATAAAAGGGAAAAGAAAGAAAGAAAGAAAGAAAGAAAGAAAGAAAGAAAGAAAGAAAGGAAGAAAGAAAAGAAACAAGTCTGATTTAGGATTTCGCTGGCCTCAAGACTTTCTTCCCTTGGAGGGAACAAGGAAAGGAGTCAGACGGTGATTGTAAACCGTAACAGCAATACCCAATTAGGGAAACCTAATTAAATTGCATCTGACGCCAGAACGGAAGCATCCAGCCATCCACACATCCCCCACGGGAATAAGCAAATTTTTCACTTAACAGCATTAGTAAAAATCTTAGCAGGCAGCAATATTCGCGGCCTAATAGAATTGAGCAGATCCATCCATGGTCTAACCTCTTTGCAATCGACTTACCTGTGCATGGCGTCCACCAGGTCCGGAGTTTTAAATACGTGCATTAATTGGAGAACTGCCCGCCTCCCGGATTCCCGCTTTGGCGCGCAGCAGCTCCCAGCGTGCAACTTTAGCCTCTAGCAGTCAGACCCGGGAAATGTAGCAACGTTCCATTCCTGCAGCGCGCGCGGAGCTCCCAGACCCGCTCTCCCTAAGGCCGCCTTCTGAACCCGCAGCCTTCTGGGAATTGTAGTTCCTCTGGCCGTGCGACTGGCTGCTCCTACTTCCGGCTCAAGCATCTTTGCCCGCCTTCCAGATACCCACAACTCCCCGCGGTGCGGGGCTCGACTGAGCGCGGGGTAGGCGGGGAGACGGAAGTAGGCGGGACTCCTATTGACTGGGAAATGTCAGCTGCTTGACTGGACGGATTTCTTTTCTAGGGAGCCGGGAGGCCTTCTGGTGACAGCCTCCGCCGTCTCCCCTGAGTGTGGGTCTCAGACCCTGGACGGCTGTGGCGTACGCGGAGCTTACCGGTCCCTTCCAGACGCTGTCTGGCGAGATCGGACGGTGAGCCCGAGGGGGGCGCGTGTGAGGCGCGTTGCGGTCGGGGTCCCGGCGGAGCGCTGGCGGGGATAGAGGGGAGTCCGGGGGAGTGAGCGGCCGCCGCGAGGCCCACCCAGCCTCAGCCTTCGGGTCAGGTGAAAGGCGGCGAGCCGGGCGGAGCACGCCTTCACACCTGCTGGCGCCTTTGCCGTAACGCCGCCCTCCTCGGGGAGAGGCCGCCTAGGCTCTGCGTCGGAGGACGGCCCCTTCCACATCTGTAAAATTGGCCCAACAACGACGCACGTCTCCCCGGCTCCAAGTGAGGATAAAAAGAGACAATGCGTGTGAACGCCTATTGTGAAGTAAAGCGCGGTTCAGGGAGAAGCCGTGGTTTAATTTTGGTGGGAGCTGGAGACCGCAGTGGTTCCTGCGTGCAGTGGTAGGAAGGCTGCGTATCCTCCGGCAGCTTTGACAAGCCTCGTACCTGCTAGCAGAGGAATAAATAGGATAACAGTTTGCAAAGGGCTTTACTGGGCGAGCTTGAGGCCGCCAGCAGTGCCGTTCGGAAGTACAGGCTCGAGCGACGGAGTCCGTTGCTTGGCCCCCTACGAGCTAGCTGCATTTAGCTTATTTCTGATTGGAAGAGTTTAGGGGTCTTTGGAGTAGGGAGCATGCCATATTCCAGGCACAGATGACCATGCGGAATCCACAGTGCAAAGTGTGAAACTGCGACCGTGGGAAAACCGGGAGAGGGAAGGAAGCCAAATTTTAACCCTAATAAAAACGAAGATTTATAATGTTCAGGAATAAGCCTGCTTCATCACAAACGTATCAGAATATTAATTCAGTATGCTGTATGATATACGCTTGTGTTGCTTTGAAAACAAACTTAATTCGCTTTCCACTAATTAAATCTCCCTTGCCCCCATGTGTGCTGCTTTCAAGCTTAGTGGCTTGGAAAGTAGCTACCATTTAGCAAAGGAAGGAATTCTGTACCTTTAGTTTACTCTTGAAAGTAATGATTGGTGTAAATACACTTGTTAATACATTAATTTTAAGTGAAGTGAGGCCAAGAATACTAGACTGAGTTCAAGATTCATTAAACTAATGTTAACATATTACAGATATTTTAAAATGCAGCTCCCCATTGTGTATGTATACGGTAGTAATCTCATTTTTGAGAATCGAATATGACAAGGGGATTCTATTTATATAGAAGAGTATTGTGCTTTTTACCTTAGTTCAATCATAGCATGAAGAAAATCTTAAAACTTTAGATTTTTTCCCCTTATGTTACTTAGCTCAGCAGACAAAAGGATGAGGACAATTTCATAGCAAAAAGTTTTCATCTGCTAATCAAATTCAGTTATTTCCCTTGATTAAAGCAAATTTTTAGTTCAATTTAATGCTCTGTGATAGAAAGGACAAGAACTGAGAAGTACTAATTTGTGTGTTTTCTACTTCTCTGTAGATTATAGTCATGCATTTAGCCTACATCAAGTAGTGGCAAGATATTTTTATTTGTGTGTGTGTGTGTGTGTGTGTGTGGCCAGCTCTGCCCACCAGGGGGCGGGGGCTGGCTGGCATGTGGTGCTGGGGGATTGAACCACGGTCCCTGTGCTTTAGCTAAGCTTGTTCTAAGTAAGTGCTTTAGACCACTGAGCCATCTCACCAGCCCCAGTAGTGGCAATATTACATGTAAAGTGAAAAGTTTAATTGTGTGTTAAACAAGTCATTCTTTAAAATAGTTGGTTTGCCAACTCGGCTCTTAAGTGATTTCAAAAACTGAATGACTTTCTTTCATTTTTAAATGAGAGGGATAGTTCCTTGTGGTACTCTGTAACCTAAACTGGACTCTCTTTATATCTGAAACCTTAAAGATGAGGATAATGATTGTTTAGAAGACGTACATTTGACTTTTTATTATTCAGTTCTAGTTCTGGTTCTTTTTGTTTTCATTACTAGGATCTTGAGTTGTCTCCTAGTTTTTTTTTTTTTTTTTTAACCTATTATTTTATTGTTTACTTTGCCCTTATTTTGTCACATATTTGAGTAAAGATAATTATGTAAGTTAACAATAACTCTAATCACTAGGTCCTTACTGGAACTTTTTCAGTTTAGAAATGTTTGGTTTTGTTAATACTTTTGTCAGGTTTTTGCTGTGTTTTCATCAGTGCTAGCAGTTCTTGCTATCTTTCTCCTTTTAAACATTGGAATTCCTCAAATTCCAAAATAATCTTACCCTCTGAAGTTTTCTTCAAAGAACTAATAGCAGCTAGAAGATACTCAAGAAAGAGAACTCCAATTCAGGAACTTTAACAAACTGATTATAAAACTATTATAAAGACATTTGAAAATAATATTGAGTAATATCTTGATGACTGGAAAAAAAACCAAGTTGGTTTTTAAATGTTTAAGATCATGGAACTGATATTTTGAAGGTACAATATGTCTACCTACATATCAGGCACTAAAATTTGATAGAATGAATTGACATTTTGATTTTGAGAAAAATCAACTTTTCTCTGCTATAATCTTAATGCCATCTTTTGATAGCTGTAGCACCCTGCTGCTGATTTTTTTTTTTTTTCTTTGCTTTGTAGGACTTGAACCAGGGCCTCACACAGGCTAGGCAAGTGCTGTACCACTGACCTGTATACCCAGTCCTTTTAAAACAAAATTAAATTAAATTTTATTTTGAGACAGGGTTTTGATAAATTGTCATGCATGACTGTTAATCTTGATCATCAAATTGATTGGCCTGAGAGATGCCTTCTGGATTTGGCAAGAAATATAATTTTAGGGACTAAATCTGGTCTCTGTCTCATCCTTTTGGGCTCTTCCCCTGCTTCCTGTTTCCCAGAGGCTTTGAGTTGGGCAGCTTTCCTCTGCCATGTGTTTCTACCATGATGTCTTTGCTTGGGGACTGCCTGACCATAGAATTAAACCTCTGAAACTGTAAGCCAAATTAACCCCCTCCTCCTTTAAGTGACAAGTGTCAGATATTTTGTACCAGCAGTAGGAAAGGTGACTAACACACCACAGCTGGCCTCAAAATTGAAATCCTTTTGCCTCAGCCTCTTGAGTAACTGGGATTGTAGGGACATGCCTCCCTTCCTGGCTTTCCTGTCTTTTCTTGTTAAAAAAAATTTTTTTTTAATTTTTATTTAGTACAGGGTATTGCTATGCAGTTTGGATTTGTAGCAATCCTGTCTCAGCCTTGCCAGCACTGGGATTACAGACATATGCTGCCACACCCAGTTTCAGTGGTTGGCATGGCATGTGATACTGGGGGTCAAACCGAGGTCCTTGCACTTGCCTGATAGGCACTTAGACTGCTGAGCTATCTCCCCAGTGTCCTTCCCTGTCTTTTCTAATCACCTGGACCTGAATTTGGATTTGCCTCCAAATTTTAGTATGATCTTTACTTTCTCCCTAAACGTTTTAGTATTTGAAGAGTAGTATTAGTCAACTATTGTGGTCAGAGGCATATTTTTGCTTTTGTACTTAATAGTTTTTATAAAGCTACAGATGATTATACTTCAGCAAATGGCCTTGTGACAGTCCATCTGTGTTTTAATTATGTACCTAGAAGAATGACATTTTCTTTCTACATGCCATTAGCATGTAATGACATTCTCTTTCTGTATGCCATTAGAATCCTCTTGACATCGTTCTGAGATGTGTTCTGTTTCTCCAAAGAAACATGAAGTGATGTTTAGGCAACCTTGCAGACTGAGAAAGATAATCCTAATTTGTTCAGAGAAGCATAGGAAACAGTTTCTATGAACCTATATGCCATTTTCACATAGCAGTGATGGTGGGTCCAGACTGTTGGAACCACAGAGAGTGAGAAGTAACAAACAACTGATTTCTAGTCACAGGTTTTTTTTTTTTTTTTTTTGAGACAGAGAACAGACTAGGAATAAATGTATGCTGTGGGACCAGTGAGGCAACTAGCAGGTACTAGAGATTTACACTGTGAGAAATGCCTACCCTGTATTATTTGATCATAGCAACCCATCTAAGGTGGTTGTGTCCTTTAACAGCCTACATTATATAAAAATTACATAATTATGAAGTGGCGTTGGGGCCTGGAGCCTAAGTTTGCTAAGGCATAGTATTTTTTATAAGTTATAATTTTAGACATTTAATATATGTAAAACTTGTCATTGTCTTTGCATTTTACCATCATGTTACTATTCTGATTTAAAAATAAATTTACAAAATAACATAAATTATTACAGATCAAAGAAAGCACAAAGAAGAAAGTAGAAATTGTCTCTTTACTACAATGTGTTAACCATTGTGATACCATATCTCCTCCTAGGTTGGGAGACTCGTGATCTCTCATCTCTGTCTGCAATAGAGTGTTATTGTTAGGTAGTGTTTGACTCAGGCCTAAATCTGTGCTCCATCAAGCATGGCTAGAACAGTAGAATTACTAAGTTATAAAATCTTCATTTTTTTTTTTTTTTAAAGTTAGTAGGTAGCAGTGGGATAGGCCTGTTTAATATGAACATTTGAGTTCTGTGTTTTCAGATTTAAAAAGTACTGTAGTAAATGTAATATTGTATATAATTTTTCATTCCCATTTTGGCTTTTCTTGAAAAATATTTTTGAGGAATTGACAGGACAAAAAATACATACTTTTTGAAAGATTTTCTATATATGTTGACAAATTATTGCCCTTCTAGCAATGAGTTATTTAATAAGCTAGGCTTGAGTTGTTCCGTCTTTATTGTTATTAGATTTTAATTGAAAAATTTTTATTAAATTATACTTTAATTTCCAAGTAACTAAATTAGAGAATAAGCTACCTCTAGATTTCTAGAGAATTTTCCATTGAAATAATGAGGATGGGCTAGAGAATCCCTAAGGAATCTTAGAAAGTGCTATTCTGTGCTGTAATAATTCCTTCTTTGAATTTAAGTAGAATTTCAAAATTCAGCTTGAAAATGGTTATTTTCTTTTTTCAGGTTAAGGAAACCCTAATTTTTATCTCCCATTTCATAAAACCAGTAGGCCTCACCTGTTTCATAAGAAAACATTGTGTTAAAAGCAGAGAAATAGATGATGAAGTAAAGAGACAAACTCACAAGGGTGTCCTCCCCTTATCTCTCTAACCACTACATGTGATTAGAATATCCAGGGGGATCTAGTGCTGAGATTTCGGCAATCTTAGCAAATTAGGATCCTAGAAATTGGAGATCCTTTCCCAGAGAGGAATGCAAATCTACTGCCACCTTGTGAAACTCTTAACATTTAATTGAGCCATATAAATTTAAATGTATATAGTAAATATCTCTATATGATATATTGTAAACCAAAGCCAATTTAATAAACTGTTTTCTTGCTATTTTATATTGTTGAAAGTTTCTTTCCATCCCTCTGTATATTTTCATTTTTCTTAAATATCAAAAAATGTACCCCTTTCATTACCATTTATCCTGTTACCCTGCTACATTTTTCAGGCACCCTTTAGCCCTATTAAAATATTCAGTTTCGTTCTTTTTATAACTTGTTTCCATGGGAGATGTTTGTCAGTTTGAAGGATTTTATTGATCCTTATTTTGTTTGGTTACATTATAATCTTAATTCTCAATGTTGAGCTATTAATCACTTATTTATAGCCAAACAGGCCTACACTGACTTTGTAGAAGTTGGATATTGCCTTTAGTAGTGATAAATTGCATTTCTCGGTAGAGAGGTATCAAGTGAACCATTTGCTGATTTTTGTATCATTAACGTTTTTAAGAATATTTTTAAATGTATGACTATTCAATAATCAGTTTCACATATAAAAAATAGGTAAAGTGAGTGTTTAAAGAAAATGAGATTTATGTGTATCAGTAGAAATTGATGAGTATACCTATGAAGCCGGAAAAAAAATAAGTTGTTTATTTCTTTATTTTTGAGATGATATCCTACTATGTAGTTCAGGTCGGCCTTGAACTGGCTGAGGTCTTCTGCCTCAGCCTTATGAGTGCTAGGATTACAGGTATGTGCCACTGTGCTGGTAAAAACAAGAATTATAAGTCCAGCAAGTTGAGTTGTTAGAAAACATTAGCATAAAAGGAAAATATTTGTTCAAATGAAAGATTGAATTATGGGCTGTCCATATCTATATTATATATATTATGGTACAGGGTCTCACTGTGCAGTTTGGACTTGTAATGATCCTCCTGTTGTTAGTCTTGTCAGCACTGGGATTACAGGCATGTGCCACCATGCCCAGACACTGTGGCCTGCTCAGTGCACCCGGGAACGGGGCCTGTACAGTATGTGGTACCAGGGATCGAACCCTGGTCCCTGTACTTGTGTAAGCAGGCGCGTAGTCCACTGAGCTATCTTGATGGCTCTGGCTATCCATATCTTTAAAAACTTTGTTTTGCTAAATGTCTAATTGCTAGGATTTTAATTTGCTAACATTGCCTAAATATATAATTTCTATATTTAAAATATTTTGTTTAGGATTTAGAACATTGAGAAACTCCAAATCACACTGAATTGGACCTATTCACATTTGATATTAAGAATGTCTTGGGGCTGGGAAGATGGCTCAGTGGAATAAGCACTTCCCTGGCAAGAGCAAGGGTCTGAGTTCAATCCCCGGTTCTACCAAAAAAAAAAAAAAGTCTTAATTTGTAATATTTTAAGAATTAGCATGACTTGTTTGAATGACTTTTTCTAAGGATACAAAGTGAGATTTTTAAGATGGATTTTAAATAGTAAGATATAAGGAGCTGACACTAGGAATTACTTTTTTCATTGTATTCTCAGCCCAATGTAAAGCATGACAGTTTCCTCAATGCTAATAAATATTTAGAAAACTTTGAATGGTTGTTTCCTATGTTAATAATACATTTTTTGTTTGTTTTCAGTGAACAGATATGGTTCAGAACTGTACGTGAATAACTTCAGCTTCTCAGAGTGAATATTCAATAATGAGTGGTGCAGCTTTGGGACTTGAGATTGTTTTTGTATTTTTTCTCGCATTATTTCTACTTCATCGATATGGAGACTTCAAGAAACAACATAGACTTGTAATTGTTGGAACACTGCTTGCTTGGTATCTCTGCTTTCTTATTGTCTTTATATTGCCTCTGGATGTTAGTACGGTAAGAACGGAAACTAATTTTCACAATTTAAGAAATTATAATTACACAGTTTGAGATATATTATACATTAACTATCTCAAGTATATCTTATACATTCATGTGTCTTATATATTAAATATATAGTTTGAGGGGCTGGGAAGATAGCTCAGCAGTCTAAGTGCCTGTCTGGCAAGTGCAGGGACCCGTTTGATCCCCAACACCGAATGCGCAGGCCAGCTGGCCCTGGGCATGCAGAGCTGCCCACCAAAACCAGGCATGGTGACTCATGCCTGTAATCCCAAATCTGGGGAGTTGGGGAGGCTGAAGCAGGAGGATCACGATGAGTCCGACCTGTGTAGTGAGATCCTGTGCCAGCTACATATAATTAAAAAAAAAATTATATAGTTTGAACTAAATTATATATTAGGTTATGCTTATAATTTCAACTTCAATGTTATTTTAGAAATTTGATCATTAAGCAGTATAACCAGCATGGTAACTTTAGGTAGGTAGATTTTATAAACCCTAGTGATTCTCATTTTTAACTGTGATTGCTTTAGACAATATATAACCGGTGCAGGCATGCTGCTGCAAATTCAAGCCCTCCAGAGAATAACAACAGTACAGGATCATATGCAACTGTTAACCCAGTTCACAGGTATTTTGTTCTTTGTATTTTTATTTTTTTTCTTTTAGCTTAATGGTGCAAGAAGAAAATTGTTTGAAAATTGTTTTCTACCATTCATATGTTTTATATTTATAAAAACTAATCTCTACTGACCCTTCTACTTTTATCCTCTGCCAGTATTCTTTTTAGTATGTTATCTTCTATTTAAATCTAAACATTTGTGGATATACCGTTAATGGTAGTGAGAAACTTAGGAGATACGATTTTTTAGCCTGACTTTTCCACTTTCCAAGTATGAGGCTTTCAGAACTTTTATTTCCTCTCAGCCTCTGTCTCATATCTAAAAGAACAGAGCATGAACGTTCCTGGGTTTCAGCACCATAAATACATAAACTAAGGAGAATTCAGGGTTTTTTCTGTGTATGTGTGCCTAATTTACAAGGTTGTTATGAAGAACAGGAAGGTTATTCTGTATGTGTGGAATTTCTTTTATGTTTCATATTCCTTAAGACCATTAGTGTTTTCAATCAAAAGTGAATTTAGTTCAGATTGTCACAGATAGTACTAAATTCATATCTGTCTTGGTTACTTTTTTCTCACTGCTGAGACAACATTCCTGACTCCAAAATTAAGGAAAGAAAAATTTATTTAGTTTACGATTCATGGAGGTTTCAGTCCTTGATTAGCTGGCTCCAAGGCAGGATGGCATGGTGCAGGGGCAATAGCTCAAGGTGGCGCAAGACAGCAAAAGCAACAAGAGCAAAACAGGGCTGAGTAAGCCTCCTTTCCTTCCATATATTGTAAGCAGACTACCCGCCTAAGGGCAGGCGTAGCACTCACACCACCTCTGTGCCCTCCTTTTGGACACCATGAGAATGTGTTCAAAGTGAGCATCCTCGCCTCCTGCTGAGCCACTTAGTTATACTGCTAAACTTCCCAAGTTGACAGTGAACAATATCCTAGAGCAGTAAGGGCATTTCCTCTACACCCTAGCATGTGGAACTGCTGAGTTACTTACTTAAACTTCTAGACTTCTCAAGCTGACATAGTGTATTAACCATTACAATAAAAATGTACAGGTAAAAATTAATCTATGCTGATGTAAAGTTTTACTAATATTTTAAGTAGTTGTAGCTTTTTAAAAAATCTAAATTGAATAAATTTAAATTGTAGTTGTTACTTTTTCATTAAAAAAATCTAAATTGAATAAATTTAAATTATAGTTGTTACTCTTCTTTGAAGCATTATTAGAAACTGTTTATTGGTCAGTTGAAATTACAGAAGTTGTTAAATACTCTGACTAAAAGATATCCTTGGGCCCTGGATATAGCTCAGCACCATAGGGCCTACTTGGAAAGCATGAGATTGTGAGTTCGATTCCCAGTACCAAACTATCTAACTAACTAACTAACTAACTAAATAGATAAATAAAAGATATCCTTGTGCCTAAAAGATTTATATGGAGGAGTCTGTGGTCAGAGACTCATCAGAAAATTCAAGCACAGTTGTGTATAGATACTGTGTATATCTCCATAAAAGGAACTAATTTAATTAGCATTCTAGTTTCTTTCTAGAAGTTAATCAACTAATATTGTCTCCTCTCTAATTCACATTTCTACATAACAATTAAAAACAAAATAAAATTTCTTGTGTGACTAAGACAGGAGGATCATATGTTTGAGGCCAACTTCAGCTATAAATCTAGTTCAAGGTCAGCGTGGGCTACATAATGAGATCCCATTTGAAAAAAAAAAAAAAACAAACCAAAAAATCCCTTAACCAACTTCACAAATAACATGAGTATGTACTTTAAGAATAATCATTAAAATTTGACTTAGTAACATTTACTTTTATTTTATTTTATTTATTTTTTTTTTTTTTTATTTTTTTTATTTTTATTTATTACATTTATTTATTGTGCGTGTGTGTGGCCAGCTCAGCCCACCAGGGGGCGGGTCTGGCTGGCATGTGGTGCTGGGGATCGAACCGCGGTCCCTGTGCTTTGCCAAGCTTGTTTCAAGTAGGTGCTTTAGACCACTGAGCCATCTCTCCAGCCCCAACATTTACTTTTAAAGAGTTGCATTATTAGTCTATTGAACATTCTTCTTACTCTGACTAAAAATATACTAGAATTTGAAGACCAAATGACAGTTTTCTTTAGAACCAATTGGTTTGTTTTCTGTGTGTGTGTTTTGTTGTTGTTTTGTCTTTTTGAAACAGGGTTACACTATGGAGTTCAGGCTGGCCTTGAACTCACTTTGTAGCCCACACTGCCCACGAACTCAACAATCCTGCCTCAGCCTTCTGGGTACTGGGATTACAAGTGTGCACCACCATGCCTGGCTCTTGTGTGTGTTTTTAGTTTGTCAACTTGGATTTTAAGTTTTCTATGAAGTATTATGAAGCAAAGTCAGTAATTATTAGTCTGATTAAATGAACTGTGCCACATAAATTAATTGTATAATTCATTAAATGATTTTTAATGATTAATTGGCTTTAAATTTTTATTAAATAGACAACATCCATGTTTTAAGCCATGGAGTTACATTCCTGATGGAATCATGCCAATTTTCTGGAGGGTAGTATATTGGACATCACAATTTTTAACATGGTAAGTGACACTGAAGAAAAATTTTTTAAATTTTTGGCTAAAGTAAGAAAAGAGGGGAAATTATTTTTCAGTGAACATTTGTACTTTGCAATTTCTTTTCCTCCTTAAATTGATATCTTCTCCTTTTCTGCTGGCTCAAATTTCCATTCATTAAAAAAGAAGGGAAGGATAAAGGAAGGGGAAAAGAAAGCAAAAACAAAAAATAGAAAACAAAAAGTTTTCCTTGTCACTCTTTCCTTCCAGTTATTGTCGTCTCTCTTGATATAAAATCCAGTTTTCTTCTGGTCCTTTTTTCACATAAAAGGACTCTTGCCAAGGTCACTGTTATTCCCTGATTTTCTTCTTCCTACTTGGCTAAGCTTCCAAATTTTCTTCATGGACTCTGAAGTTTGATCATCTTGTTGTCTGACTCTTCCTGGACAGTTTTAATCAGTGCCATAGTTTTTGAGTTACACTGATATCTTAGTTGCTTTCTTGTTACTGAGACCAAATACCTGACACCCTCATCTTAGAGGAGGAGTGGTTTATTTTAGCTCACAGTTTGAAAAGTCTCAGTCCTTGCATTGTGTGCTGGCTCCAGGTAGAAGCAGCATGGCAGAGGGGCGTAGTGGGAAGACAGCTGCTTTTGTCATTGCACCCAGGAAGCTGCGGGAAAAGGAAGCCAGAAGGGAGGTGCGCACTTGCAGGTCACACCCTGGTGGTCTGCCTTCCTCCCCAGCTAGCAGTAGCTCACCTGCAGTGCCTCCTTGGTCCAGTCCTCCAAATGCCCCCTCTGCCCATGTACACGTGAGGCTCATGGGGGACATCCAGATATAAATCAGAACAACAGTTACATAATTGTTTTGTTTTTCTAATTATATTTTTTTCTCCTTATCTAGGATTCTTTTACCTTTTATGCAGTCATATGCAAGATCTGGAGGGTTTTCCATCACTGGAAAGATAAAAACTGCACTGATTGAGAATGCAATCTACTATGGCACATATTTGCTAATTTTTGGAGCATTTTTAATTTATGTAGCTGTAAACCCACGTTTGCATTTAGAATGGTAAGAAAAATAGTCTTCTTGACATTGTTTCTGTGCATATTTATCCTCAAAATTTTTATCTCAAGAATACAGACATTTTGGGGCTAAGGAGATAGCTTAGCAGTCTAAGCGCCTGCCTGGTAAGTGCAAGGACCCGAGTTTGATCCCTAGTGCTGCATGCCTTGCTATCCCTGGAACCCCGGGTGCACCATGCCAGCACCAAAACTGGACATGGTGCACACCTATACTCCCAACGCTGGAGGCTGAGACAGGAGGATCTGTGAGTCTGAACTGTGTACTAAGACCCTGTATCCAACAAATAAATACAAAAAAAGAGTATGGAAATTTTACCAAGCAACTTAGTAAATGAAGTATTTTATAGATTACCCCTCAAAAATTGGAATAATTCTTATTAATAAGAAAATGTGGATAACATTTTTAAAAATGACTGTTAGGTGTTGGGTGTAGTGGTACATGCCTATAATCCCAGCATTCTGGGAAGCTGAGGTAGGAAGATCACAAGTTCAAGCCAAACCCAGGTAACTAAATGACTTAACAAGATAATTTAAAATATAATAATAATAATAATAAGTGGAAAAATGACTGGAAATCAATACCCATTACCATAAAAAAGTACATACACATGCATGTAATAATTATGTTGCTTTCTTTTTCATTCTCCCAGTGACTTTACAGTTGTAAATGTTCTCTTTGTTTTGACTGTACTTTGTCAACATATTTGTCTTTAATGTTATTTTAGATTTA